CCACAGTTTTATCTGCAATTACCTTTTCCCTTTTTCAAGTACTTTTTATTGCAATAAGTTCAATGTTGATCTTTTTGTTCGCTGGATTTCAACTTGTGTTTTTCTTCCCATGTGCCAGACACATGCAATAAATCTAAATCTTCATGTTCATCTTCTTCTTACAGTCGGCTCGCCCGGCGAGCCGACTGTAAGAAGAAGAAGAAGATTAAGAGACAAATGATGGTTGGTGAAATTTTGTGACAGACGATAATCGGAATGAGCCTTGAACGCAGCCAATGGATAAACCAAGCACATGGAGGGTTGTCAGGAGGGTGACTGGCCTAGATAGGGCTCAAGGTCTGGCCGACCACATTCTAGGGACAGGAATGCTCACACACGACATGATACCCAGCTTTTCGGAATTCACAATCAGCAATCCAACGTTCTGAGTCCCATTTCAGAATGATTTTTCCCAAGGTCGTTCATTCCAGGTACCCCCCGCTATATGACAACAAACGTTGGGCGCGAGTCTGGTCGTTTCCTGTTGATGCTTCAGCGTTACCACTGATTCTTATGCAGCTTTCGAATATAGTTGTAGTGAACTAGGTCCTTCACTTGAAGACCTAAAAACGTAGACCTTCGAGTGGTACCAATGGGTACCGACATTAATATGTAATGCTTGGAACAAGAGCATCGCTTCTACAACATCCCAACGAGCGGCCTATATTGGCGGGACGGCTGGCTTGACTACCACACCCCTTCCCTATTTGCGGCTGAAATTTCGCGATCAGAAATGTTGCATCACTGAGACAGCTCTGAGTCAGCCGGGCATTCAAACTATGCTTTAGGAAGGTAAGAAAGAGGACGTAAGCTGGACCATCTAACCCAATACACTAGTGAGACCTTAGCAAACACGATACCTATTTGATCTCTGTCCATAGAGGTACCAGCAGCAACGAAATACTCAACGATCCGGTAACTGACGACGTCGAACTTGCTCTTCCTCACGAATACTGCACATCCGTCATTCATCATACCAGTCCGCTTTTTGTAGTATGACACGTAGCCGACTAAAACAGCATAGTACGAGGTACATTACAGGCAAGCGCTCAGAAAGTGATTAAGCGACAAAAATCGTTCTCAGCAAAATGGAACTAGAACAACCACAAGTGCCACGTGCAGTAGGTGAAGTGACCTGCAAGGTGCACAGTACTAAAGACAAAAAAATAAGCAAAAAAATGGAAAGGATGCTAGTATATAAAAATTGCTAGTGGGGCTGTTAGTGTAGCAAATGTGTGTGTGTTGTGTGTATGTACGGGGTGCGTAATCGTATGTGCATAAGTGTACCTGTGGGTTGTGTGGTGTTCCTATGCAGTGCGTTTCATGAATATGAAAACACCTTTAAAATTGCTTTAAATTTGTTGCTTACAGGATAAGCAGCTATGCAGATAAGTTTTAAGCACTACTATCAGATACACCACCCTGAACAATATCCATTTGTTGCACGGACATTTGTTGCATCAACTTCTACCATAACATTTTTATAAATAAATTTTGAATTGTAGGCCGTTCTATAAGTAAGATCACCTTGAGGATTCGAGAAAATTATCATAAGTAACGACAAAAAACATTCAGAATTCGACGGGTCTTCATTACTCTAGCCTAGCCTAAGATCGAATAGCTACATGGCATACTCGAAACAAGGTTTCGAAATACCTCGCCGCCGCCGGAGATTTCATTCCAAGATTCAAGACTACCTGCATCTGGCAGAGCTCTTCTATCGTCTGGAACTGACGCTATCTCACATGGATTTTTTTCAACGATGCCCTATAGATTCTTCATAGGGTTCAGATCGGGGCAGCAATGGCCATGTCAGAACCTCGAAATTTTGGGAAAGGAAAAGCGTAGTTAGGACTCCGTCGCTGGCTCAGAAATGGCACCAGGTGCCATAGTGAGACTTCCTGAATGTCCTTGGAGTCCACGATAGCAACCTCCAGCCCGACGTCTTCGCAGAGGGCACTCTATGACCCTTCCTCCTCCAAAGTGGCGACGACTTGAGCTGATCGACTCTTTTCGTAAGTCATGCCAGTAACAGCTGTAACCTTCGGAGCCTTTCAAATTAACTTTCTCTTCATTGAAAAATACGACCTAAATGACTGAATGGCTAATCGGTAATACAGGCTGACTTTCTGTTGTAGGGGTCATAGGACATTGGTTCTGTTGAGACCACGATCACGTTCCCGCCTGAATAGTGATCTCATGGGGTATATAAACCCCTCGTTTGTAGTTATATTCAGTTTACTCTCTAGTAAATATTCCATCTGCTGCCTGCTACCTCGGACGCAACACCTTCTTCGCAAATTCAAGTCGTGCCTTCCTGTGGTGGTCGATAAGCCTCGGGAACAATTGCTGCTTCTGTTCACGACTCTCCATTTAGTAGTTCTGGGCGTCAGGAGTCCCGACTCCGATCGAACTTTGTTCACCGCCAAGTTTTGTCCGGCATAGTTCTCAGCATACTACTTTCGTCGTTCGCGGTTAGCTTGCGTGGGCACCCTGTTGTCGTGGGGCTCTGTAGTCTCCAAATGTCTTTTACGGTGCTGAGGGATCTCACGATTTCCCTCCTAACTGCCCTCGTACTGAACCCTGTATCGCGAAAATTTCGATCTAGTGCTTTTTCATCGAAAGAAATATGACCTCCGCGAGGCGAAGTGCATAGTGCTTCCAAACATATATGCGACACATTCCCTCCAAGATCATTCCAAGTGCAAATTCTGCTGCACCAGATTCTAGAACCTTCATGCTGTCGAAGGTGATCCAGTTCTGAAAACGCAAAAAAACCGGAAATAATCTATATAATATGAAAGTTGAGTAAGCCAAAGCACGTATGCGGGGGTTATTGGGTGTTGAACCTAATGATGGTGAAAATTCATGGCGTTAGGGTGCAGAATGAGGTAGTAAACGTTGATAAAAGCATCACTAATAGCAGCGATGCGTAGTGATGAAGAATGAGGAATTCTGGTTATTCCTGGTTACTAGGAAACTAATACTACTGGCAGTGTACGACTCCATAAGAAATCATCTTTTTCTTTATTTCTATACTAGGTGCGAAGAATTTATGCGCCCACCAGTTGTCTGAATACCAACGACTTTCATGTACGATTACACCAAGCTCCATGAGTAACCACTTCCTGACAGTTGATATTGCCATAACTTACCAACAATAATTAGTAGCTACAGGGCCTTGATTGATTAACCAGGTTGCTCGGGAATATGCACAAGTGTCGTGAGTCGATTGACTCAAACAACGGGAGAGATCAAAGGCATAGCGAACGAGAATTTCAAGATACCTTTCAAAATTTGAAAAAAAAGAAGTGTTGGTGCAGACCAGTGAAAAAAGCGAGAATACCAGCAGAAACCGCCCAATAATTAACGGGCGGTAACGCTATGCCTTAGTTTTTGATTTAGATATAACTGCTCTGAGAGCGTCTAAGCCTCGACACAAACCGAAATAAAAAAGATAGTGCCACCATATATAGCGTTGATTAGTTTGACTTTCTTTTTTTGCAGCATTAAGTACGACTTTATCTTGACCGTGAGCACCTGCGCTATGTCACACATTTCTTCAACTACTCCAGCTCCAATGTGGAAGCACAGTTGAGAGGTGGCGTCTCAGTACAAGGCAGTTGTCCGCTTGTGTAGACGCCTCAGGATAAGAGGCTACAAAGAATGATACTTCTGCCATGTCAATTAATCTTGAGCGAGATACGGCACAAAAATGTATCGCTTTCAGTCCACAAGGGGGATGCAAACACGCTTGCAAATCATGGCTCCAGTATGGAGACTAGTTGAAAAGTCCAGGAATAAAGAAGCTGAGAATATAGAAGCCGTACGGGCCTATTTGATTGCGCCCAGTTTGCAAAAAGCCCATAAAGGTTATGTTGTCAGGTTGGCGACTTGAACCGTGTCATTACTATGTGAACTGCTGGACTAAAGCACCACTCAACTGAAGCACCTCTCTACAAAAACAACCCCGCCATCTGAAGCGAATCGTCGATCAGCTGGATGAAACTGCTTCAGAAGACTTCTTCCGCCAGCGCAATGGTAGACTGCACTTTGCAAGAGAGGTGAAGTCGGTACTCGTGCATGGTGAAATCCTCTACGATTGTCCTATCTGTGAAATAAGAGCTATAAAATTAGAATGGTCGGAGAATCAGAATGGTCGCTGGTACCCTTCGAATGTCATTCAACCCAATCAGATCGATGTGTTAGTTGGGAATATAGTCAGGCACCACAGCAGATCAGAGTATGTAGAGGTCTCTGCCATCCTAAGTCTGAATGAGATCTGAAGAGACCGAAATTGCTAAATGCTGGCGAGGGTCCAATTTTTTGTGTGATCATCATAAAGCTTTGCTGCGCATTTTTCTACTGTGCCAGCATGCACAATGATAACTACCCAAAATAGTGATTTAATGATACCGTGTCTTCGAATGGATTATTTTTCAGGAAACGTTCTCCTTTGCTTCCATGCGATGTCTTCAGATTCTTTAATTCCTTCTCCATTGATGAGAATGGGTGGAGCGGCTCATGACCGCTATGTATTCACACTTGATCACGGTCGCCTCGCACCTGGGTTCAAAACAATTCCAGTAAAGCCAATTCGGGTAAATCGAGGGGCTGCATGATTTGCATGAGTTGCTCGAGAAAAAATTACGACGTACGGGCGCCGGCTAGGTGGCAATAGAAGTCCATGTACCTCAAACCCAATGTGGCCATGAAAGGTGGCGCCAAACGCCAAACAAACGCCCCCTTGGTTTGAAATTTTAATGGCGTACAGTATTGAATCAAAGCGTCAACTCAGTTCAGAAGGAGTAAACGGATAAGAGGCTACCCTAGTCGCTAGGAATTTTCGTAAATGTCGGAATTTCAGATTTTGTAAAAGACCGTAAAGAAGAGATCAAAAGTACATGGCTTTGGGTTATGCCTCCGCGACGCGTGCAACCAAAACTGACGTAAAAAGCACGTTGTGCCTTTGTCAAATAGCAAGAATGCGCATGAAAAATGGCGATTTTCAAGGCGATGAGCATAAACTCTTCGACTGCCTTCGCTCAGTACTGAACCAGTGATATGAGACTCGTTAGTAAACCTTTCCTACTAGCAAACCATCCTCTTAAACTTTAATTACCTTTGGACATTGATGATCGGAAGCACGAGTCATAATGGTCATACTGCACTTCCTGTAAACCGAGTATATCCGCATTTAGCCGTATCAATTCTTGTTCCAGTATTGGCCACCGATGCTCCCATCGGAGCGGACCTTCATCAGCTCTGAATGGAATATTTATCAAACTCCCAACAATTAGCCATAGTACTATTCTAAGGAATAGCCCTGAGTCTTTCTAGGAGTCAGGCAGGAACAATGAAAGCATCCCCCTGGATGTACCCCATCAAGGGACCAAACTATTTGTATGAGACCCCTTCTATTAACGGCACAGCTAACGGTGATTCTGTGGTACCATTTTCAAGTCTAGAAGCGGAAGTATTAGTTCGGAATAGTGCATTGGTGGTGAAGGAAGCGATGAAGTTCGCCAGTTTTGCAAAAAGCAAGACTCCTTGGAAGGAGAGAGTAGGGGTTGTAGGGGCTTACTAATAACGGAAATGACATAGAAGGTGTATTTGCTCGAGATCTCAGTTGTTCCAATTGTTCAAAGAGCCGAATACATCAATCCGAAACAGTCTAGAGACCAGTCCTGTTGCTATGGGTCATCACGAGTTGTTTGGACTTGCTAAATGGGTCCCCTTGTATGAATGGTGCAGTCATCATAATACCGTTGAAACTCGTCCCCGCATACACACGGGACAACCTTTGAGTATTCATAACGCCTTATCCGAGCTCTTTTCTGACCTGACAGCGCCATATATGGTATACGAGGGAACCACAGTTTTACTCTGGCGATATATATCTCATGGGCCTTTGTGATTGCAAACTGTGCGCAAGAAAGACTGCTCAAATGATTGCTTTAACTACTGTCATACCTTAAATGCCCGTAGAGGTACATAGTTTTTAGAGTGGTTAGTTGACACAGGACATTGTAACAGCATACACGAAACTCTGTATTGCTACTTGATGGGACAGGAGCAGCCTTAACAAAAAAATATTCTTTTGTATCTGCACGAAATAATAAAATGAAACAGCGTGGGGAGCCTGACCTCAAACTTGTGACCAATTTTCTCACCTTGAAAGTTTCCCAATAGCGAAGCGGAACACCACTAAGCTCTAAAGCCGCTTTTGATAGAGCATCATCCTTAGAAGGTCTCCTTTGCAGATCCGTGGATATCTTGAAAAATAAACAACATCTCAGATGAGTGGAACAGAAAATCATCTTGGGGAGCGGTTTCCCAATAGATATTTTCCAATAATTACCAAGAAACCTGATTAATTTCTAATTAATAAAACTACTTTAAAAACCAGTACTGCAGAAAGAAAAGACAGTAAGCATTGAAAAATTCGACCTGGATTTGAACGCACCGATGTTCTAAAAGACATCCTTTTCGAGGATCGCCTCTTATGCTTGACAATCTGAAACTCAACATACTTATGCAGCCGAGAATATTCAAATAAATTCAATCCACCAATAGCGATAAGGATGTATTCAATTATCTTTAAAAGATACCACCGCCTGCTCAGAAAAACAATCATTAAAATAAATGTTGTATCAAAATAATGCGATATCACAACATCCGTAATGATGCCACCATTGAAGCGCTGGACAACCGAGACAGTTTCAGAAGCTAAGGCGCTACGACCTGAACATTCAAAGTGGCTAACTAATCGAAATTCAGGGTGTCCGAGAACTATAGGCGCCAATATTCAGAAACTTTTATGGTAGAAATAATTTGTCAAATTCTTATACCCGGTATTAATTAGTTGCACTAGGTTTTCTTGCAGTATGCATGGTCACTGAAGTGAAACTCCCAATATCTTTCAGATGGCCGAGGCTCACTCATTGCCACTTGTAATCACTGGCATGCGAGAGGCGGAAGGGTTCATTAAAATTTTTGGGATCTCTATAATATCCGGACGTAGACTATTCAACGATACAAAGAAGATCCAATCTCAAAAGGACCAAAAGGGGTAGGAAGGCCAGCGTTCCTGGATAGGACTATCTAAATGATCCGTTTGTGAGTCGGTGTTGTTCCTGGTGAAACATCAAAAAGAGGGCAAAGGAGGAGTACTTATCGAGGGTTTCCGGTGGAGCGGACTGTAATGCAGAAGCCTCAATGCGATCCCACCCATATGCAGGAATGCCACTCCTTCTCCAACTTCAACTGGCACTGTAGAGTTGAAAAATGCAGCAAGTTGCTAACTCTCTCAAGTAGAGACACGCAAAACTTCATCATTTCTTTAGTCAAACAATTTTCACGAAAACCGGGTTTGCAGCCCCAGTTCGGAGTCAGAAGGCAGGACTCAAGCACGACTGGGAGGAAATGGAGCATACCTGTCTGCCAGGATAACATGCGATGGGAGACGGGCAGTAGGAACGGTTTTGCATAATCGATCCGCCGCACGCGGCTGTCGCGGACCATTTGCCTCCTTATAACAGTTCTAGCACTCTCCATACAGCTCAATCGCTATGGCTGCTTTCATAGTCCAGGGCTCGTACAAATGGTTTTTGATCTTGTCTCTCCTTGTTTACAGCCTTCGAGGGGCTGACCGACCGTATGCAGCCCTCCTCCTCCCTAGTACTGCCTCGTGCACGCCGGCCGCCGGCCGGCGGACTATGAAAGCAGCCTATGCCATTACTACTTTTGGCATGATTCTAATGTTAGTTCTTTTGCTCCTGCATTTCTTGCTTGCTGATGCATTCTGCAACAATCCTTCGCGCGCGACGTGGCTTTTGCCATGCCATGACCATTTCGTTTCTAATACACCACACCCACATGCGATTAGCTCGAGAGCGAACTTTGGGCCTCCATTCACGCTCATGAAGGGGGAGGGGTATCTAAATTTGGTTGTAGCATGTTGTAACGTATAATGTTAGCTAACGTGCTTGTAGACTCCATTGTCATTCTCTGCTGGGAAGCTTTGAACGCATTGCCATGAATTGGCGTACATAATTTTGGGACACCTTGTATACCCAGTGTGTACTCTACGCATGTACCTTAGAATTCATTTGCAAAAATTTGTCCGAGGATATTTTTTCACAGAAAATCTTGACTGTTTGATTGCTCGTCACCAGAAACACCAAGGGTGATGTTTCTGGTGTTTGATATTTCGTTATGATGTTTTAGCTTGAACGGATATCGATCCGGGATTCAAACCCGTGGCCATGCTATATGACAGTGCGCTACTTGCCACTACACCGACTCCGTCCAATCCAGTTACCATGTAGATCTGTTGTCTCAATAAGGAATGAGAGCTCACTTTCAAACATTCATGCAACTCTGTATATGTGCTTGACAATCGCACTCTCAAAGCTGTCTCAGATGTTCGGAATCTCGTCTATCACTATGATTACAGATTGAATTTTAGTATGCATTACAAGATGTTATTATTGAAAGGCACTCGTCGCATTTTCAACTTATTCAAGGCACTTCGGTCGTAGAATGAAATGATCTTACAGCGGGCATACAAACTCTACGTGCGTCCTATATTGGAAAGCGGAACAACGGTATTCAATCCATATAAGTCAAGAGACATCAAGGCGCTGGAAGCTGTCCAAAATATATTTACTCGGAAATTAATGCTTAGATGCTGTGGTTTTACGTACGTTGACATTCCTAATGGCGCATCTAGGAACCTAAAATATGTTTGAAATCATTAGAATGGAGGAGGAGAAGGTATGATGTGCTTATGGTCTTTAAAATCCTAAGGAACTTAGTGAAGATTGATGTAGCTGATTTCTTTACTGTGTTGCCATCAAACACGAGGGGAGCCTCTTCCAAATTATCGACTTCAAATGCGAAGACCCAATGCAGGTCAAAGTTTTTCAGTCTTAGAGCTCGCACATGTTTCATTTCTGTTCTGCGTTCGAATCTCTATCCGTTGAAGTATACTACCTTCAAGAAACGTGTAAACGACTTTATCCGATTTCTTTTATGGCAGATTGTTGCTTTTGCAAGAGTTTCGTCTTTTCGGGTTTGTTCGATTTCCTTTTTTTTTGTTACGTGTTGAGACTTCAACATGACCAAATAAATAAAAATAAAATTTCTATTAACTTCGAATCATGCATTCAAACCTTCCCAGAAGAGAAAGACAAGTCACAGAGCGTAAATTCAAGTTGGACGTATTCGGAATTGCAATGTTCGATCAGATAGTTAATCATCAACCGCCGAAAATTGTCTGCTACAGAAGGATTGGGCACTATATAGTTGTCTCCTACCACTGACCCTTTATAATACGCTAGATAATTTTAATTTAGCACTTAGGTAGTGTGAAAATAGGATTGTTGGTTTTTTAAAAATAGGTTGTTTCTATCACACTGACACAGCTCGAATGATTGTCACACCAATTTTGTTAGCCATTGATTTGCTAGTCACGTCTTTATTGTATTCGTTCACTAGAAAAAAAACGGCCCTAGCGACGTGTGCACGTGCAATGGCAGAACATCTTACGGTTAGAGTGCTTAGTATACTAAACGAAGGGGACGGTACATCCGTGCAATTCGAACTACGCGCGGCAAATTACGCGGCGAAATTCGTGGCGAGTTAACACGTTGACGACGAGCCAATTTTTTCGTGTCTGTCCCATGGGACGAGACAATTTCTTTCTTGGAAATTTGTTATTTCTCGAAAAAAAGAGTGCTTAGAGTCAAAAACATTTGAAATCCGCAAACCTTCCAGCAGTATTCAAAGTTTGCCCAAGATTTGCGACTACTTGGGGTTATTTCAAATTTGGCAGTGATAAATCCGAATTAGGGGTATATAAATAGGATCTCTGAGAGTATTATTATCCTTGCGGCTATTTTTGTCATCATGAGTGTCCTGGATGATGAAACGGAACACTTCAACGGTGGTTTCAACAACTGGCTGCTCGACAGCGACGATGATGCTGCAGGTGGTTTAGACGGCGACAGTATGGCTCCTGCGGTTGATCCTGTCTTGTATTTGTATTATTCGTCTTGGAATTAATTTAAGAGGTGGCCGATGCTATTTTGGACACTTATAAGCCCAAATTAAAAGCCTGCACAAAAAAAGGAACAAGGACACACACTTTAAATGAAGGATGCACCGTCGCGCAGCATTGCGCGACATCGTCCCATGAGACAGACTGGCTGTCGCGCACCATTGCGCGACATCGTCGTCAACGTGTTAAGTAGAATAGTTAAGTAGGGTCAGCTGATCCTACTGATCTACTCTACTTGGAATTCGGCCCCAATAATAGGTGCTAAAGTCGTCAAAACTGCTACGAATTCCTCCGCGCAATTTGCCGCGTGCAGTACGAATAACACGGATGTATACACACTCTACTAAACGGACGTCTTACATAACGGAAAAAGTACAATCACGCCCCTATCTTCATGCCAGATTGATACCGCAACATTGAATTAATGCTTACACTTATTAGCGGTCGATTACAAGTATTATCTCCTTTTTACATCCTTATTTAACGATTTATAGACCAACAATCATGCAAAACTGTGGATTATAGGGTGGAACACTGAAGAAATGTAACAGCAGGTGGACTGTTGGTAAATGTGAGCATTGCCTCGGTACTCGTGAAACCATAGAATCTCGCTCACCTTTTCACTTTTAATAATTGAGATTTCCTCCTCATCTATGATAGTCAAATCGTCCAAGCAGACTACTTCACTATCACAGTCCGAATTATCTGGAACATGAAGAAAAGTACAGTCTGACGGGAAATATCAAGTCGCTCACTGATCTCTATGCATTGTGCATGGACTATTACAAGGAAGAATGTTTACAAATCACAAAACATAAAACGTGAAAAATAAAAATCACAACATACCTTTCTCAACTGTAAGGTCGATAATTTCACCTTCCACTTGCGATCGCAACGTAAGATTTTTACTATCTGCAAATTAATATAAGAATTAGCAATTCAACGCCAGAGATAAGAGCACTATTGAATTTCTTTGAGGAAAATATTCGTCAACTTGTTCATTCATTGAAAAAATACTTATTGAGTTCCATCCACAATCACCGCGGATCCTTAAGGAATAAGCCTGTCCAGGAAAATTTTGAAATGAAGCTCCACTCAACGAACCTTCGCTAAAAACGACTACTGACTGCTCTTCCACAATTTCTCCCTCTTCAAGATTGTCGTCTTGACAAGAATTGGAGAGATTACCTGAAACCATTTTAGGAAAACCGAGAAGAAGCAAACCTCAACCACTACCCCCACTATGAAGGATGACTG